GAGGCCTAAGGCTTTAGATGTTTTTGAAGATGTTTTTGTTATCGCGGTTTCATGCCGATATCCCATCGATTACAGCTGACCGGCTCACCAAGTTAAACGTGTGAGTGCTGATAGGCTACGGCATAAAAGCCGTTAAGCTGTGAGGGTAAAAGCGGCCCTGGTGGCGTAACGGATAGCGCACCCGCCCGGAAAGCGTGAGGTGCGGGTTCGATTCCCGCCTGGAGCAAGACTTTTGCCCACGACTCAGCATTCTTGTGATAACATTCGGAACGCGTACTGCGGCGTTAAACAGCAGTTATCATAACAAAACAGCTTCAAAAACATTGTAAAGCCTTCGGCCTCGCGGTTTCATGCCGATATCCCATCGATTACGGCTGACCGGCTCACCAAGTTAAACGTGTGAGTGCTGATAGGCTACGGCATAAAAGCCGTTAAGCTGAGAGGGTAAAAGCGGCCCTGGTGGCGTAACGGATAGCGCACTCGCCCGGAAAGCGTGAGGTGCGGGTTCGACTCCCGCCTGGGGCACGCCTACAACTCACATTCTTGTAATAACATAGAGGGAGTATTCAGTCACTCCCTGTATACGAAGTTTGTACAGCCACGCAAAAGTTTATAATCATCTCGCAAGATAGACCACCGGTACTGGAAGTAGTGAAGCTTTGCATGAAACTGCATGGTGCTCCCCCTTATCCCACCCGCCGTCGAGGAACTGCGACCGCTTTCCCCCTCATACAAAATTCAAGAGTTTGTGGAAAGACTGCTACTATAAAAACTAAAACAGTCCTTCATCAATGTTCGTCAAACACAATGGAAAGCAGGGTGCACTTTGGCGAGAAACATTTCGCACTCTTCACCTGCCAACTGGAGAGGTATTCCACGATTACAAGAGCCGACAGGTTTTACCATGATGGTTCGACAAGCTTACTCCTTTTTCACAAGAGTTCCCAGGTTTCACCAGAATGAGACATGCAAACCGGAACTGTGGAGCAGCGAAAGTGCGGAACGATTCCCCGCTCTTCCCAGTTTGTGCGGACTTCCACGTTGAACTGAAAATTTCTCAAATTTGATTTTGCAACTTGACTAAGAAATTACAGCACTACTGAAGAGCGTTTACAACAGGCACCCTTGTACCACATGTAGCTAGTCAACAAGTTTTCACGATGTTATGGTACATACAAAAGCGAGAAAAGGACTTGGAACAAGTCAAACTTACAGCTTATTAATTGGTCAGATTTCCTCGAACACATGAGGAAGGGTGGGTGGAGGTGGAATTGATGAGAAAATTTTTGAAATTATGTTGTTTGATCAATGTCTTCGATGGGGTGAAGTGTATCGCGATTGAGCACGACGCAACCACATCGGCATCGCATCCACGTTGAAAGATGGTGAGATCTTAGGACGGGTCGACACAGAAGAAAATGGAAGGAAAGGAAATCATAAAAGACTGCCCCTTCTTTCGTTGTACTGAGAGAAACTAAATGACCTTGAACTATGTCGCCACGTACGCTGAAAATATCTGAGCACTGTGAGAGCGGACAGAACGCGAAAGGTTTGACCTCATCAAAAAAATCTCAAAGAATGAAGCTTCTGCAAGTCACATGTCTTTTGCAGAGATGCACATGTTCCATGACATGTTCCGCCATTTAGAACAGCAGGGACCTAAAAATCTGCTGAAGGATAAGTTCTCGAAGTTTGTTCAAACTCTGGAATGCACGCATTCCTCATACAAAAGCTGGATGGCCCTGCCTTTGCACAGGGGTAGCCTGGGCATTACAACACTAGACTGCTAGTTGCCTTCCGCACTCTCCCATTATATGGACTGGAAATATCTCACAACTCGGGCCCATGTCAAAATCGAGATTATGTTGAACCTTGCGTCGCGCTGGCCTGCGACCTGCGGCATGCAAAGCGATGATAACCTACAGGTACTGGAAAATTGGCAAGAACTCGCAATAACAAAGCTACAAATATTTGGTCTTACATCTACGTCTCTCTATGAAAGACATGATAAGATCGAATAGCCTAGTTCCAAAAAATATGACAGATCTTCCCTGCCAACTTAATATTTCTCAGCTTAAACTTGTCCATGAAGGATGAAGTCTTCGCCGTTGATCAATCCCTCTTTGGGATGCGGCACGCATTCTACTCCCATTCAGAATCGCTTATGAATGCGATGTGGCCTATACAATGACTTGCGGGGGCCAGCCGATGTACAAGTCAGTGTTTTATCCTCCCAGACGAATCTGGTACCAATTCACCGTCCCCGGAGGGTAGAAGGCTTGGTTGGCCTGGGCGGGAGCCCATTCGGGGCATGACCCCTGGACCGCAGTCGTGGGTAGTGTCCCATTGCTTGCGGGTGTAGTGGGGCAGGGATGCGGGGTGGACGGGGAAGGGGCAGCCGATGTAATATGAGTGTTTCTATCCTCTGAGACAAGTCTAGGCCTAGATAACCGAATTAGGAAGCATTGAAAGTTGATTAGCCTAAGAGGGAGCCGATTCAGGATTTGATCTCAAAGGTAAGTGGGCTCACTCACCGCTGCACCGCATCCACTATACCAAATTGCTAATTTCATGTCATTTCATTACATCACTAGATACTCCTGACTACTATTTTCAATATTTTTGGCTCAAAGAAGTATAAACAACTCAAACGGCCGAAACTGCGATTTCTTGGGTTTCTCTAAGTTTGTGCTATTGTGTGCAATATCATCTGCACAAAACTCGTTGTTTCTATAACATGCTACGAATTCACAAGCAGAAACGACTTGTTCCTTCAGGTAACCTCATTACTTCGCCTACTCTCCTACCTCTATCACACGTTTTTCTCTGGATCGAGAAAAATAAAACTTCCTCTTTGGCATGAATTATATGCACCCCACAGCTTCGCCAAACTCGTTATTTGTAACCAGTCGACTCGCCGGCTAACGCCGGCGCGCCTCCGGCTGCGCCGGGCGTATTTTCTTTCACATATTTCTAGACTCAACTGATATCCGCCTTTTGTTCTGTACTCCACTTTTTTCCGGTGTCTGAAGTACTCTTGAGCTATTTTACAGATTCTTCGTCTGACTCCGCCCACCTCGGAGCAGGCCCCGCCCACAATGTTTGTGCCCTACAATCTTCACCGGCGACCCTCTGCTGACCTTAATCCGCTTTTTTCCGGTGTCTGGAGTGCTCTGAAACTATTTTACAGATTTTTCGTCTGACTCCGCCCACCTCGGAGCAGGCTCCGCCCACAATGTTTTTGCCCCACAATCCTCACCGGCGACCCTCTGCTGACCTTAATCCACTTTTTTCCGGTGTCTGGAGTGTTCTGGAACCGAGCTACAAACTTTTAAAATGAATACCCTGCGATTTAGGGCAAGCTCCGCCCACTGTGGGCGGGTCTCAACACACTTTGAGCGTGCCCTATATTCGCCAGATATTTACATTCTACACTGAGTTTTTTGCGACTTCCAAACACTCTCGCGAACCGGGTTACTGAATTTTGCGAGAAGCACCGCCCACCTTGAGTACGCCCCGCCCATTTTGGATGTGTCTGCCACAGTTAGTCTGGCGACTCCTTACTAACCTTATTCCCTTTTTCCCCATCTTTAAGCTGCTCCGGAAGCGAATTATGAACATTTTTCTGCGGAACCCCAAACTTTCGGCGAGTGCCCCGCCCACTGTGGGCGGGGCTTCCCATAGGTCAAGTGTGCTTTTTATTTCTTGTCCCATGCCCTACCCATCCCTTGACCCACCTCTCCAAGTCGTTCTTCAGGTCGAACGGAATTTCTGGAGGAAAAACAAACTTACAAAACTTATTCAACGGTGGAGTCGCTTTCCACTGCCAGAAAAATCCCCCCCCCCCCCATTCTTCGACATTTCAGAACAGATGCGTGTGATGGCACTGTCGTTCGCTTTTTTGTGATTCTTTCATAGTTGGAATAATGTTCTTTATGAAAAACGGGAAGCTTTACGTCATGAGGCACAAACTCGAAAACCGCAAAGATAATCCCATTGATACGGGTCTGCTACTGAACCGGTCCCCTTTTCACAGGGCTACTTGCATCGCGCTTTTCCCGCCCTGGAAGGGCATGAACAACTTTGAATTACAGCGCCCTTGAAGCAGCGATTTGTGTTTACAAATTTCTCCTCGTAAAGCACGGAGGACTGCACCTACAGTTTATATCGCCGCAACCAGTCGGGCTGCAGCGTCGGTCGGTATCCGCCTGCAGCGTTCCCACAAATGGCTGTTTTTTTCCTGAATTGATCACTACTCGATCACCATTGGTAGAGGAAGGCAGCCAAAGGCGGGCTCATGTCGCGTTGTTCTCGCCGCCCCGACTGGTTACGATATTATAAACTATACCAACAAGGAACTGAATTGCACTTTTGAACATAAACCAAAAAATTCAGTCACCCAACATGATAACTGAGCTAGCTTAGGTAACATCTTGGCAATTGATGATCGAGCAAGAAGTGCGATCGCGACGATAAGACGGTATTCCATGACAGTATTCATAACACATTGATGAGACAGTGAAGCATCTGGCGCTGTACTGAGCGTTCATTCAAGCGAGTGCGAACAAATAGATAAATAAATAAATTTATGCAACTAGAAAGTGTTGTGCATAATCAGATTTTAGAAGACCCAGACAAGAAGTCAATAAGAAGTGATAACTGCTAGTAAATTGCAGCAGCAAGGAAATATCATGAACAGAGTTACCCGCAACAGTAATAGCCCAGTTGGCTTGCAATTACACTATGAGCTTACACTTGAAAACCGGACTGTAATGTGCCTACTCCTTATTAATACACATTTTGACGTCGGCTGTGTGTCGGAAGAGCAACACGGGCAGCTTATACGAGTGGCACACTTCTGGCATGATAAACTGCGATCGTATTTCCTGATAGTGCGCCACTAGACACACTTCTTGCATGATAAACTGCGATCGTATTTAATGATAGTGCACCATTTATTTTGAAAAACATGGGAAATTGTTGACTTGTTGTTGCCACTGAGTCCACTTGAGTTACTTTTGTCATACAGAGCATGTCTCTCATGCGCTTTCTTCAGATTGCTGACTGTCCCTCGGAAATCACATGCAAGGAACATGATCGCGATTGGATCGATAACCGTGTAGCTAGTGACAACCAATGGCATAAATTGATATATTCTGAATGAGCAGACATAGGTGTTGTGACCTTCGCTATTCGCATGCTTGTTTTACCATAAAAAAAGAGGATGAAAAATGGACATCGACGGTCAGCATCCTGATGATTGGTAATCTCGTGCATCAAAAAAAGTTGCCTTGGAATTTGTGCCTTTCATGACGTTCTTTTCAACCTTATTTTTACAGAAGAACAGGCAAAGCGCCACATCACTCAATTTTTACAGAAGAACAGGCAAAGCGCCACATCACTCACGGTAGTGGTCGGAGTCCCATAACGACGCTAGTGTACATCACAGTTCGAGATAGGTATGAAAAAATAAATGGTGTTACAGCCTGAAATGGTTACATTCCCGGACTGGAACCGTTGTCGTAGACAACGTTAGAAAGAGCAAGCATACTTGAAAACCAAGGCACCTGTACAACTAGCGCTTTTAGCAGTTGAGTCCGCAACGCTTTTGACTGCTGACTCATTGAGGACTTCTTCAGAGTTCGATACATTTCAATTCCGCAAAGTACCATGACAGAAAACGTAATTATCATCATAATATAAATCAAGCTCAGTCCTACTGTTGACATCCAATGAATGGTTGTGGTGTTGCCATTCACTTCCTGAGATTAAAAACTTTCAAAGAATCTTCTGCTTCTGTACACGCTGATAATACATAGGAGCTGCGAGGGTGGCCGATGTACTGTTGAGTGAAGTCAGTGTTTACATCAGTACCATATGTGGAACCAATCGGCGCAGCCCAGTGAAATTGTTGGAGTCATAGATACAAACCCGCCAGTATACTGTGAATAGTGGCGTTCGGTTCCTAACCAGCTGTCGTTAAATGACACCTCAAGGAAAGGTGTATGAATGAACTTATGAGAGGAAATAGCCGTCAAGTTTTTGTGGGTGGCGCATCTACGGAGGCGTCTGAACTGTCACTCATGAAGGCCACAACGCCTAATCGTGAAACTGCAACTGCCATAACCCTAGAGATTGAGGACCAGACCATTAGTGCAGAGAAGACTTGTGCACGGAGACTGTCCTCGAAAGACAAACATTACACGACATCTTGTCATCATCACGGACAGTCTTTGTAAAGGCGTATTTCTTGTACAAGAAGTCTGGTTCTCAGTCTCTAAGATTATGCCACTTCCGCAGTTCCACATTAACGCAACGAGGAATGGTTTCATGTACGAGATGGACGGTTCCGCAGGTGCAGTAGCGCGCAAATTCGTCCGCTCAAAACTGTGGGGGGAACAATACTGTAAGATGGGGAACCTGGAGTAGCGTCTCGATACGCTTTCACCTACGGATTTCAGCAGCAAAACATTATCTGAGCAGTAGAGGTCATCAGGAGTGAGATGGCATAGATAAATTGTGCGCTCGATCGTGGTTCTCCCCGGGCCCCATTCACGTGAACTTCGGAGCGGGAGAAGGGAGAAGTGGCATGCACCCACATCTGCGAACAAAATTCCTCGCATATGGCGAGGACCAGTGTGCACAGTTTGCTTCTCAGAGGGTATTACTCCGAGATTTGCGAAAGATTCTTGCTCAGCTGAGTGACGGCACTATCTCTCTGTTAGTACAGCCACTTCTTCGAATAATGGTTTGTTGCAAAGCAAAGACATACGTGAGTGAAGATGCAGAAGAAAGACAGGCTACGAGCATCTATTCCGAACTCTGCGTAAAGCGACGAACTGGCATATTTGTAATAGTTTTCGTCGGCGGCAAAACAATAGAATGTGATGAGGCCATAGGCGAAGCCCCATGAAAGCACAGATAGAATTACGGCAGCGATGGAGGCTTTCCCATGGAAGATGCACAGCAAACTCTGTCTGAAATTGCTGATAAAATGTCAAGGATGTAGCAAAGTTATAGCTTACTCTTTTTTTTGGGGGGGGGTGCATCACGCAGTGCTGCATATTTCCTTTTCAATCTGGTGTCATGACGGAACTTGAACTCGAATTGGTCTGTTCGGCATCTAACGACTAGCTAGGCGACCACAAGGGATTAAACGCTTGGCTGATAGAGCCGGAACCGTTTGTAATTCTGCGTCGGGCTGACGAATGACATCACTCGCTTCCGCATCATAGCAAGATCGTTTATGAACGACCGCGTTCCCATGAACCATTTCATGAACGAACGCAGAGACCTGATTTTGTTGAGAAATGCTCAGTTAAAGTAAGCTCTCTGGTGTGGATTCCTTTCGTGAACAACTTACCATTAGGCGATGAATGCCACACTATAGAGGAAAACAGTATCACACTATGGAAAACACACTATAGAGCTAACTCTGGCAGTTCAGAACTACTCTTTTAAAATTAACTTCATGGTATCGACTCAGTGAACGAAAACCGCCGCGAACCTACAGTTCACTGTGTTGTGGTTAAAGATGCCATGGTGGATTCTTCATGGGTCATATTGTTCCGGAAAGGTTTGGAACGGGAAATTGGATGATCAGCGCCGAGCGCTATTTCGCCATCAGTACTTCATAGTATTACAGATCACATATTATTTTGTTTTATTCAAAAGTGCTAGCTGAAAAAACAAACCTGCAAAGAAAAATGTATCTGTAGACGAAGTGAAGGGCCAGTAGCGCAGTGTTCACGCCATACATTCCTATGAATAAACAGAGAGAAAGTAAAACCCCAGGGCTTGGCTGTACCGAAAATACCGTGACTGAACGTGATCAGAGATGTACCATACACGTGAATGCCCTGAAACATCATGATTTATTCAACACATCGTGAGGAATATCCCAGCTGTTCTAAGCCCCGACTTCGAATGTGCATAAACGCTATGAAGAAACTTCCTTAATTGAGACCAGGTCTATAACCACCAGCACACTTTCATTGAAGACATCACTTGTTTCGAAATCGCATTTCCCATTCGGATACAATCCGAGCTATTTAGAAAGCAACTTTTGTGTTCCAAAGGCGGAAGTATCAAGCCACACCACTACACTCCCTGTGTTCGTTGCCACTGCGTGCACTCTCGTGAATCAGAGCGAGAATGTGATTTAAAAAGGAGTGTACGATGTACTTCGCACACCTTGAATGCAGTTGGCACGATAATTTGATAGTAGGCCCAAAGAAAACTGGCAGGGCGCTTTATAGTAGGAAAATGGCGAAAAAGCGAGTGGAACAGTTTGGACCTGCGAAGAAAGGTCTTCGTTCCTCATGACTCAAAGCAATTTCGGATGAGTTTCAAACAGGCATACTGCCAGTAATCGCTACTGTAGATACGGCTGCACGTGTGTACTCATATATCCATGCAGCACCAGACCTTCTCATACCAATCCCTTCGCTTCATATTTTGCTTAGCAAATGAAGCAATACGAGCATCAGGTACGGTCGTCCATTTGTGGGCGGGCATGCGTGGTAGGCGTTCGGGTCGGTGTGTTGTAAATAGCTCGGTAGAGCAGTATAAGGGCACCTCCCTCGAAAGATGCCTACGCAGCGCCTGCTCAGGGGCGCAAAATTTCGTCCCGCCAGGCTCTTAATCCTACTCGTCGTAGGGTTTATCGTGCCAACTGCGTTTAAACATAGGTGGCATCGCTATCGCTATCTTGAATATAATATGATTTTTCGTACTGCTAATTATGAGCAAAACATCAGAGCAGAAATGCCATAAGACTTATAAAGTAAATGACCGTGGCAGATTCCGTGACTGGTGATTCTAGACAATGGCTAAGCACAAAAAGTATCGGAATGGTTGCAGTATGTGTAGCAACTCACAGGTTTGACAATGAATTCTATGGACGCGAACGTGATATTGCACACTGCGAAGCAGGTCATAATATTTTTGTAGGCTTGACCAACGGCACTGCGCATTCCATTTCGTATCATATAGATGAATATGATGTTCAGTATTGTTGCGAGAACAAGGATAACCGTAGATCCATGGGTAACTATTGGCGGCACACTCATAGGACCTGAAAGAGATTTTTAGTTCTCATTCGCTAGTACCTGAGACTGTTTACTGGAAAATCACGCTACTCTTTTTTTTCATCAACGAGAGCGGTAATGAGAATAGTCACTATATAATTTGTGTCCAACGGCTAGCCTCTGGTATACATAGAAACTATCCCTTCTTGTTGGTTAGTAAGGACTACCGGTAGGTGAGAAGAACAATTTACAGAAGTGACGGAGTTTTCTGCGAGGTACTTAGGTAAACATCCTGTTGTTCAGGAGCACGACTAGAAAAAATATGAAAAAATCACTGGGACTGGATGTCGTTTGAAACAGCAGCGATCTCCCCCATACATGCTTTGCTACAGTTACACACGAAAACAATGGCTTAAGACACGCCCTGCGACCAAAAGTGGTGAGTTGCGTCGCTCGAGCGCTAATGACAGAGTGGTAAATAACACAAAAGTGAAAGAAAAAAGGCAGGTCAGCAGACGAAAAAAGGCAGATAAGCAGACACACACATGCCCCATATAACCTCAAGAAATTGCTTTTTTTTGCCATTTTCCCCACTCTAAGCACCCTGCTAGCATTTTGAATCGAGTACCAAATTATCGGGCAAATCGAGTACCAAATTATCGAGTCATATGCCCTTAAGCCGAAAGGTGCCTGACCATCAAATAAAAGCAGAAGGTACTTAAAGGGTGTTACACAAAGCTGGTGTTCACGTGACAGACGTACATCAGTGAAAAGTCGAGAAAGAAGAGCTCATCAATTATAGGGCTTATTTCCATTCAACCTCGCTCTTGTGCCAAGAGCTCCTTTTCTGAGGCAATACATCACTTCAGAATCCCTTGCTGTATCGCGAATAATTTGCTAAGCTGCTCTTTCCGGCGCCAGTGGAAGCCTACTGTTTCAGATCCACCTTTTGCTGGTTGATGATATGTGGGTTAACCTGATTTAAGGACTAGTTATTAACAAATAGCAACAATAAAATATATGACAAATGAGCTCGAGTCATCTGAACAACTTATATGAAGAGCAGGAAAGTGGGAATTTCCGCAAAAAAAAGTCACACGTAGGCTTTGTAAATAATATGATGATATGCCCGGTCTCGATGACTGACTATTCTTAACTGTAACTAACTCTCCACAAAAACCATAACAGAAATGGGCACCAGCAAAAGAAACTGGATCTCGCTGTCCATGTCCAGCAGGATGAATATGTCGTGGATTCACGGATCTGATCTCCCAGCTGTCGCCGAGCACTTCCCCACCTTGACTCAACACCCGGCAATGCCAAGCCGGCCTCTCTTCACCGGGCGCTCTTCTTTACCTCTGGCGGCACTGCGCCTCCCGCGTGGGACATTGCGTCTCAGCGGTTGGAATGCGGCATTGGATGAAGAACCATTCAATAATTAATTTACAGAATACACATGTTGCTCAGGAATGTATTGAAGAGCTAATGGTAGCTGTAAGCAGTGCAGTTGCATCATTGTCGGCATTTGACCTAGGAGATACAATGAAGCATTTCCTTAAGGTAAAGGCAATCTTTGGAGGTGTAAAACTGGAGCTCCATATGCGGATAAGTCACATAACAGTATCACTCTGACAGCTTGAGACCTACACAAAATTCTCTTTGCGAATTCTGGAACGAAAATATACCGTTCGCGAGCTTGCTCCCAGACTCCATGTGGACAAGGTGGGAGCATTCCACGAAGTTTTGTGGTTTTCTTAAAACTAACCAAAGTAACCAAGCCTTACTATCTTCTTGCTTTGCATTGTAGTGTTCATAGAATATCTTTAGTGTAGATGCGTCCCAGCATCCCTGCTTATTTCTCTAGAATGGAGAAGAGCTGCACGGTTCCACGCTGCAGACAAGTGAAAAGTCGCCTGGTCGGCTCTTAAGGCGAGTCAGAATGCGAAAGCACGCCAAGTGTTCACAGGATATTTCTCATCGAAAACCATTTATATCATGCATAATGTAATCACATCTACTTCCCTTTGGCGAAATGTTGACGCTTTCTACCGTGAGAGACAGCACCATTCATGTAATGAACGTGGAGGTGATATAAGAGCGGGTCAAAACTGAAGTACCCCGAATGTGCGGTGTGACACTCAGCGCCTTGTTGCCTCCGAAAGGAGCGCAACTGTGAAACAGTGTGAGATGGTAAAAAAGAGCTACTTCGATTCGTTCACGTTAAAGCGTGCATCACACCAGAACCCAGTAGAGCTCACTGCAGGCAGGAAAGCTGACTCTGAGCCCTTGGAAACTCCTTCATCTCTTGGATTGTAGTGCGATCTACCTCTCCTAACATATCATCTTTCTTGAAAGCGCAGCCTGTACCCTACCAGAAAATTTTCTGATTGCTGATTTTGCTTCTCCCTCTCCCTCGACAGCAACCACTATTAAGTGTAAGTGCAGCGTGCAAATGGCCGAGTTGCAGATAAAATTGGTAAAAGAATGTAACACTAAACACTGAACCTAATGCCTACAGAGGCAAAAGTAAAGACTTAAGAGGTGCTGCAGGTCAGTCTCTTATCTTCTCCGACCAACGATATCATTATTTGTTATACGTCGCCAATATCCGAATCTCTGGTCCTTTATTATTTCGCATTGTGAAGGTTCTGCCATCTTCGATAAGCGAAGACGGCGAAATAAGCCTCTGTCAGTTGCTCGTTCTCTAAACCACCACTAAAGTTCGCATTACATCCACTACACCACCTTTTGAAATCGGCCTCCACCTGACACCCGTTCTATACATTTGACGCCTCCTCTTTCAAAGCCCCATATTGGAGCTTATCAGCTGTTACCACACTCCTTCCTCACTACTTACGTTGCCGCCCTATCGTTTCTATCTCATCTTGGACTACATTCCTGCGCCGGGAGCTATGAATAGCGTGAAAAGCAGATGGACACCCACGCAACACGCGCAGAGATAGACTTAGCGATAGATACTACTAATACTAGATAGACTCAGCGATAGATCTTCTTATATATAAACCAGAAGTTGTTGTGTGTGTGTGCGTCTGTCTGACCACCCAAAAACCGAAGACTACATAAAACTGCTTCTGCTGGACGGATTCTAACTGGGATTGCGATAGGATTAGCCAATTTTCAGGGAGCCTAAGCGGTGTGCAGCATAGAAAATTTTGATGACTGCCTTCTAGGGGGGGGGGTGCTAACCAGTATCACAAAATGACATCCACACAATACCGGCAGCACTCTTTCTGGTACCTGCACAACATGCTCGGCAAAATCCTGGATGTAAACCAGCCGATGCTCCTTCCTCACCTGGAAAGGGTCGCGTAGTTGTGCATACGATGGCGAAACCAGGGTGAGTACACAATGTTGCACAATTTGCACTGTGACAAAACGTACCTGCGCCACTGTTTGGTTTTGCTCCACGATTTCGGCTGGAATGCAAAGGAAGCCCATACCAAGCTGGTGGATTCTCAAAGTGGTCTGTTAAAGTTTAATACTTCGTGTTATTAGGGCCACATTGTATGTATGTGAAAACTAAACGTAATGAATGTAAAGTTTAGGCTTATAATTTATCTTCAAAATATCCGTCAAAAGAAGTGGATTCAGGGCCGTTGATTCATAACCTTCAGTGTGATATCGTTAACAAAAGCATATCAGTTCGCCAGTTGAGTGGAGCCAAACCGCTCGTTTTTTTTGTTTCCTTCACGCGGGCTCTCGTTCTGCTATCTATATTTCAGAGCGCACACCTTCCTTATGCATGATCTACCAACTCCCAGGAAGAATGGGGTGGAACGTGGCGCAAGGGGGTAGAGAAGTGCTGTGATCAGCTGCAGCAAGTAACAATGTTGGGAGGCTCGGGGAAACTCCCTTACTTTGTTGTGATCTCTCACGCGTATTGAAAGTGACGGCAGCATCATCAATTCTTTTGAATGGATTCTAGTAACTGTAGCATCGCATACTGTACTATGCAAGCCAAAAAAACATGTGAATGAGCTCCGGCTTTGTTTTTTTTTTGCTCTCAGTTGAGTTCGTGCACTTTGCTTTGCTCTCAGTTGAGTTCGTGCACTTTGCTATGCTCTACTACAAGCAGCTGAGTAGCTTCCGCAGCAACTTCAGCGAGAAACTTGAAGCGGCTGAATGGTCAGCAGTGCAGCAATTAACTTGTTGTAGTCATCAAGCCAAGTTGTAGACCAGCTAAGAGAGCAAATAAGTATGCGTATGAATTCGGAGACTTAGGACAAACGAAGGGCCTGCTGGAAAGGAAACAACAGAAATTGAACCGTTCGGTTCTACTCGACCGATACACTATTATCTACAGATAAAGCTGAGTTTGTCCGAGGAAGAGTGCACTGTGGTAGGAACTTCAGCAAAGATACTAAACTCAAGAAGCAGGGTGGCGATAAGATACTGTCAACGCCATCATACAGTCCAAACGCTGCTCAGTCCATATACAAGCTGTTCCTCTTGACAGAGCTTCTTTGTAAAACTGTCGATTCGAAGAAGTGTTAGAATTCGTCAAGAGATTTTCAATTAGAGAGCTGTTGTGTGGTACGTTGATCAGATCTGAAAATTTTTTCTCAGCATACTGAAGAGAACGACGGTCCCTAAGTTGAAAAGTATTTGTTATTTCTTCGACATGAGTTCTTGCGTGAAATCCGCATCGCGTCGCTGTCTGCGGAATTCATAGATGAGATAATAATTACGATCTGACATTGTAGTCGAATGAATTGTTGAAGGAGTGTGATAATTAATATTGCCACATTGAAAATCCTACTTTGTATGTGTGTGTGTGTTTGACCGGAAATTCATAACTTCCTTCAAAGGAGCGGCAGAGCGCTCAAACTGATAAGTGATGTAGGGGGTCGGGCAGGAACACTATTGGTAGGTGGCAGGAACTGATAAGAGCTGATAAGATACCACAGGGGGTCTTAGAAGGGGAGGGTCACCAAATTCATAGCACCGGCCAGAGCAACGACGGGACCTTGGATCCAAGTAGTAAGACAGGGGGCAGGATGGGAACATTATTGGTGGGTGGC